CTCCAAGTTGCCCAGGCGGGTCTTGAACCCGCGGGCTCAGGCAATCCACTCACCTCAGCCTCCCAAAGCGCAGGATTACAGCCTGAGCCACGGAGCCCGGCTCACTTTTAGCTTTTATTTTAGTTTATTTCAGAGTCAGGGTCTTGCTCTGTCACCCAGGCTGGAGTGCCATGGTTTGATGATAGCTGACTGCAGCCTCAAACTCCTGGACTCAAGTGATCCTCCCACCTCAGCCTCTCAAAGCACTAGGATTACAGGGGTGAGTCACCATTTCTGGCCTCCCAGCAGCTTTTGAGGCCAGGAGCTACGACTCTGCTCCTTGAGACTACTCTCTCCTCTGTTGCTGGATCACCACATTCGCCTGACTTGCTTCCTACCTCTGTGGCCTCTCTTTTAGATGTTAGGAACCCTGAGGGCTCAGTCTCAGTCTTATTCTCCACTCTGTTCTGGGGAGACTTCACCCTCTCTCTCAGTTTCAGTGTCTCCCTACTTCACACACGGATGCTTCCTGGGTCATCTATGTCTTTGGCCTATAAGATACGAATACGTCCCTGCCCCAAGGGTGCAGCACACTCAAATGGAACATGTCCCAAGCCTGCCTCTGTATTTTCCCTGCATATCAGCTTCTCCTCCAGTGCCTGGAACACGCCCATTCTCCTTTCAAGGCTTCCCCACCCTCAGTTTTCTCTTCCCCTCGCCCCTCAGTTCAGTCCTGTCACCAGCCCGCAAGTAATGCTCCAAACAAACACGGATCTGTCCGACATCCTCCTTGCTGGACACTTGAATCCCTGAGCAATCTCCCGTCTTTCTATCCTAAACTTTCTTCCCAGTCTCACGGAAATGCTAAATCACCAGTGCGGGGAGGCTTCCGTGGGTCGGAGCACAACTTTGCAAGATTCAGCTTCAAGACCACCTGCTCCAGAGAGTCTTCCCGTCCTCCCCCCAAGTAAGTGCCCCTCCCCAGTTCCTCCCTCTACCCGGGCCTGACCCCACACTGCTGGCAGTGTCTGTCTGATCCCGTCTCCCTTGCTTCTCCTAGAGCTGGTGGCAGGGACAAATGAGTGAATGAATAAATGGATGGATGAATGAATGAAGAGTGAATGGTGCAAAGGGGTCTGGAGGAAGAGGCTCAGGGCAGGGAGAGGGAGAGGCCGATCCTGGGAGGAGCCCCAGCCAGAGCTCTCGAGGTCCCGGCTCCCGCCCGAAGTGTCTGCGCGCGCCAAGACTCAGGGCCAGAAAAAAGAAGCGCCTGGATTGGCTCAAATTGGGGGAGGCGGGCCTAAACCGAGGAGCTAACTTCTATTGGTTTATTTCTCAGGGTTCTGCCCAATCAACGCGACCGCTTCCTCCAGAAGACCCCCCCCCCCGCCTCTTCCCCGCCTGCAGACGCGGAGGCGGAAGACGGCGCCTTCTCGTTACCCTAGCAACCGTCAGCGGACCCCTGTCGCCCGGGCAACTGTCCCAGGCCTCCCGTCAGCCTTTGCCAGGGCCCCTCCGGTCACCCAGGCAACTGCTACCCGTTCCGGTCAACCACCAACCCTTCCCCCGTCACCCTAGCAACCGTCGCCAGCCCCACCGCCCCCTGGACGCCGTGCGCATCCTGTCCGCAGGCCTCCTCGCCCCCAACCTCCACCCTGGGCTTCGAGGTCCCGGACCCCTGGTCTCAGGCGGCCCCTCCTCCTCCCGCCTGTCTCCCGTCTCCAGGGAGCACGTCTCCCACCCTAGCAGGGGGTCACAGGGTGGGCCGGTGTCCTGAGGGTCCCTGCTCCGTCGGGGCTGGGGGGCTGCTCAGGGCTGGGACCGCGCGCAGACCGCCGGGCTCGGCGCTCGTACTCTTGCGTGGGACTGTCCAGCCGCCGCAGGGAGCTCTTCAAAATGCAGACCATGTCCCTCCCCTGCTGAAAACCCTCCCATGGCTCCCCTTGAGAATCGAATCCAAACTCCTCGCAGCCCATGGCGGTCTGGCTGTGGCCGCTTCTCCTCCCGGGGCCTCTGGTCTCACCCGGCCTCAAGCAGCCGCTACTCCCACCTCGGACCTTCCTATTAACCATTTCCCACTCCTCCCAAAAGTGCCTCTCCCACCTGTGGCTCCTCAGGGGCACCCTACCTGACCCTTGTCACAAGCTGGCAGAACTCGTTTGTTAAACTCCAGAAAGGGGGCTGTGTCCTTCTGGTTCAGAGGCTATCTATCCCTAGGGCCTAGTACAGTACCTGGCACCTATGTTGAGTGGCAGGATGTTGTGCTGAGGCTGAGGGCAGGCAAAGAAGGATGACCAGCAGGCAGGTGAATGTATTTCTCAGGGCCCCTAGGTCCTCAAGGTGGAGGTGATGATGGCAATTGTCCCCAAAGACTGGACAAAAGCCAGGAGGACAGAAGTTAATGCTGTGACCCTTCTGGGCTTGTGTGGTCCACCCTCAACTTGTAACTCCTCATTTGGAAGCTAGAGCCAGAAGCCTCTGGAGATTCAGCAGAAACTGAGGCTATCTTGGAGCAGAAGATTCCAGGAGCTGGAGAGGAAGGCATTAGGTCCCAGATGCCATTCTGAGAGCTGGTCCCTTCTGAGACCAGAATCTCACATGTCCTGACAGAGCCGAGAGCTGTTTTCCCAGGGATCTTAGACAGGTCAGCCCAGGTTGGGGGTGAGAGAAGTTGACCTGATGAAAAGGCCTGCGGTCACAACAGGGAGGGGGATCATGGGAGCTGCCCTGGGCCTGGCTGGAGAAGAGTCTGTACAGCCCCCTGCTCCCCCATGAGGGTTCCTCCTTGGTGAGGCTGTCAGGAGCTAGGCAGGGAGACCCCTCAAACTAGGAGTATTCTTGTTAACATAGACAGGACTTTCTGCATAAACGTAACAATCAATCACTTGAAATATGGCTGGTGTGACAGAGACACTGCATTTTAATTGTATTTCATTTTGATTAACTTACATTTAAGTAGTCAAATGTGGCTAGCAGTACCATATTGAACACGGGAGCATTTAGCTGAATTCTGAGAGTGGGGGTGCAAGTCAAGGACAGAAAATCAGAGTTTGCGATCTGTGCATCCATGGGGGCCTGGCTTTGGCAAGGAGCAGAGTGGGGCCCCAGGGAGGGGAGAGGTAGGATACTCAGTCCTAGCATCTGGCTCCATGGAGGAGAGGCATACCGGTTGCCAGGGTCAAAGTGTTTGCTCACATGTGCACACACCCATGGATGAGCATAGGGGTCGGTGCTCCTCAGGGCACCTACAGATGCATTTGGGTGCCATCCAGGAGAGCCATGCCTGCGGCCAACCCCAGAGTCCACCTGTGTACGTATGTTGTATGGACTCCCAGGTACATGCAGATGGTGGCTGTGCATTCTTGAGTGTCCATGTGCCTGGACAGGCTGGTGATCGAGGGCCACTAATCCAGCAGGTCTTGCAAGAAGGCCCACATATACTGATGCATCTCCTGGGGGTTGCTCTGTGGGATCCAATGGCCCGCACCTGGTAGGATGTGGGCCTCCAACCGGCCTGGCACAAAGCGGCTGCCAGTGGCCCCCACCAGCCCCGGCTGGAAGAAGGGGTCCTTCTCCCCCCACAGCAGCAGTGTGGGTGTGGCCAGCTCCTGGGGCTCCAGGGGAAAGTTCCTGTGGCCAAGACAGATAGACAGGCAGAAGGATGGCTGCCCCATCCTCTCCCCTGAAACTCTTCTGAGCTTCTGCCCTGTGTCTGGTCTCACCTGAAGAGGTTCCGGTAGTAGTTGAGGGGCCCGATGAGGCCACCAGGCTGTGAGAAGTTATAAAGGAAGGCCTCGAGCTCGTTGGGGGTCAGGCGTGGGATGCCCCTCTTGGGGTGGGTGAGGGTGGTCTTCAGGATCTGGTTACACAGCAGGACTCTGGCTTCAGTACCCAGTCTGCCTAGTCCCAACCTGTTTCCCCCACTCCCAAGCCTTCACCCCATTGCACCTGGAAGTCAGACATGGACAGCAGCTTCTCAGGCAGCCAGGGAAGCTGGAACAGGAACATGTAGTTTGAACGAAAGAACTGGCCGATGTGGCGCAGGGAGTAGTCTGGGTGGGAGGGTTGGGGGACAGAGGTGAGGCTTAGACCTGTGGTGGCCCCACACACTTGCACCCCTACACACACACAGGCCAGGCACACGGACCTCGGGAATGCTACTGCTGCCTGCTTGAGTTGGTGAAGATACTTGGTGACCTCCCCAGCCTGGGCATCAGCTTCCCATCCAGACAGTGCTAGGTGGCCACTAGGCACAGGCTGGGGGTGTCTCCCTCTTCAGCTCCCAAGAGTCCCCACATTCATTGGTGTACTTCCTCTGCCCAGGCTGGGGTGCATTTCCCCTGCTTCATTCAGCAGACATTTATTGAGCAACTACTGTTCTAGACCCTGGAGCCACAACAGTGAATGAGACAGACAAAATTCCCTGCTTACAGGGAGCTGGCAGTCAAGAGAGAGAAACGGACAAGAAAATAACAACAACAAGAACAAAGACAGAGACAGAGAGAGAGAGAGAGAGGTAGAAGGATTGCCTGAGCCTAGGAGGTGAAAGCTCAGTGAGCCATGACTGCACCACTGCACTTCAGAATGACTAAAAAAATAAAATTAAAAAAATTAAAAAATCAGATTATATGATAGACATTGGAGCCAGAGATGACATCTCATGCTAGTATAGTTGCTTTTTAATCTATCTTCCCTGACAGAAGAAAGCAATTTAACCTCCCTTGCCTCAGTGTCCCCCAATGCATGGGGATAATAACACCTTCATAAGCCCAGGAACCTTGAGTAGGTTACTGTATGCAGTCTCCTTGTTACGTGGAAGCGCTAAAAAAAAATGTAGGTTATTCCGAAGTGCATTGATTTTATTTTAATTTTTTTAAATATATATTTTTTAGGCCGGGTGTGGTGGCTCATGTGTATAATCTCAGCACTTTGGGAGGCCAAGGTGAGAACATTGTTTGAGCCCACAGGTTTGAGACTAGCCTGGGCAACTTGGCGAGACCTCATCTCTACAATAAATTTTAAAAATAAATAAATAGAGCCGGGCTCGGTGGCTCAGCCTGTAATCCCACGCCTTTGGGAGGCTGAGGTGAGTGGATTGCCTGAGTCCGTGGGTTCAAGACCCGCCTGGGCAGGCGAGACCTCATCTCTACAATAAATCAAAAAATTAGCTGGGCGCGGTAGTGCGCGCCTGTAATTCCAGGTACTCATAAGGCTGAGGCGGAAGGATCGCCGGGGCCCAGCAGGTCGAGGCTGCGGTGGCCGGGAGTGGCCACTGCACTCCAGTCTAGGTGACAGAGTAAGACTCCAACTCAAAAAAAATTAAATAAAAAAAAATAAATAAATAAATAAATAAATAGGCAGGGCTCGGTGGCTCGGCCTGTAATCCCAGCACTTTGGAAGGCTGAGGCGAGTGGATTGCCTGAGTCTGCAGGTTCAAAACCAGCCTGGGTAATGTGGTGAGACCTTGTCTCTACAATAAATACAAAATTAGCCGGGTGTGATAGCATGCGCCTGTAGTTCCGGCTACTTGGAAGGCTAAGGCAGAAGGATTGCCTTAGCTCCTGCCGTGGTGTTCAGGAGCATGCCATTGCACTCCAGTCTGGATGACAGAATGAGACTCCAACTCAAAATAAATAAATAAATTTTAAAAATATATTTATTTTTATTTTTTGAAGTTGGAGCCTCACTCTGTCGGCATGCTTACAGCCACTGCAACCTCAACCTGCTAGGCTCAGGCAATCCTTCCACCTCAGCCTTCCAAGTAACTGGAACTACAAGCATGTGCCACCACAACCAGCTAATTTTAAAAATTTATTTATTGTAGAGACGAGGTATCATCAAGTTGCCCAGGCTGGTCTTGAACCCCTGTACTCAGGCAATTCTCTTGCCTTGGCCTCCTAAAGTGCTGGGATTACAGGCTTCAGCCACCATGCCCAGCAAAAATATTTAAAATAACAATAACAAAAAAAATCGAGCACAGTGGCTCATGCCTGTAATCCCAGCACTTTGGGAGGCAGAGGCAAGAAGATTACCTGAGCTCAGGGGTTTGAGACCAGGCTGAGTAACATGTTGAGAACGCACCTCTACAATAAATCCAAAAATCAGCCAGGCATGGTAGCACATGCCTATGGTTCCAGCTACTTGGAAGGCTGAGGTAGAAGGATCACCTGAGCCCAGCAGGTTGAGGCTGCAGTGGCCGTGAGCGTACTACTGCACTCCAGCCTGGGTGACAGAGTGAGACTACAAATCAAAAAATATTAAAAATAGAATCAAATTAATAAAATAAAATAAGATTTTAAAAACAGAGACAAGGTCTCGCTTGGTGCCCAGGTTGGTCTCGAACTCCTGGGCTCAAGCAATCCTCCCCCCTTGGCCTCCCAAAGTGCTAGGATTATAGGCATGAGCCACCACGCCCAGCCTGTCATTGATTTTAGATTGAGGAGTGCCACAAGGAAAAGCACCCAGGTTCACTGCTGTGCCCCCATCCCCTAGCACCATTGACAAGTGGACAGATAAGTGCAAACACAGATACACGTCCCTCCTCCCATAACCACACATCCCAGTGTCCCTCACTCCCTGACACACCTTGGTACACTGACATGGGGGCACCACTGACCACGACCATCCGCTCCACCAGGGCTGGGTAGTAGATGGAGAAATTCCAAGCAAGGAGAGCACCCCAGTCGTGGGCCACGAGGATGCATTTGGAGTAACCTGGGGGTCAGAGGAGATGGTGTAAATGAGATGCCAGGTAGAGCTGAGGTGGGTGGAAGAGGGGGTCCCCGTATGGAGGAAGCATGGGGGATTAGGTGCGTGCAGGATGGGGGGACTGGGATGGGAGCGTATCTGCACCCAGGCCCTGGATTATATCTTGGATGTCCGCCATTAGCAGGTCGTTGGTGTAGCAGTCCACGTCCCGAGGTGCATCCGAGGGGCCGTAGCCACGCAGGTCCACAGCCACGACGTGGAAGCGGCTTTGGAACTCCCGGAGCTGGTAGCGCCAGGAAAACCTGCCGGGCAGGCGAGGAGGGAAGTTGAGTCACGGCCCCCAGGCGGCACCTCCACCCTACTACACCCAGCAGGGACCATGGGCTCTGAACTTCCCGGAAAGATGGAGAATCCCACGCAGAGGTCGAGGCCAGCTGCACCCTGAATCCCACCAGGGTAGTCTCGACCTCAATAATACTCCTCTGTCCTAGGCGTCCTGGCACAGTCCCCCTGCTCCCCCGCAACCCATCTGGGTCCTCTATGCTCTGTGTACCCCAGTTCACCCCCAGCTCTCGTCCCCACCTTTTGGGTACCCAAGCTCTACCTGTCCCCGTCCCGTGTGTCCCAGGCCCCCAGACCCCCAGACCCTAGACGCACCAGTTCTCAGGGAAGCCGTGCAGAAACAGCATGAGGGGTCCGTTCCCTTGTCCAGCGGAGACATAGTGCAAACGCAGGCCGGAGCTCTGGAGGACGGCAAGGTCTAAAGTCTGGGGAACGCCCCCTCCCGAGGGTTGAGCCCTGCGCCTCGGCGCTGATCCGGGTTTGGCTTCAACCATTCCCTCTTTGCTCGCCCGCCCCGACCCCACGCGACCCCAG